ATGGAACAGCTCCTCAGTACCTACAGGAGCTTGTTACCATGTGTCAGCCGTCATGATCACTGCGGTCGGAGTCAGAATCTTTGTTATGTGTCCCAAAATCTCGTACTGTGACCTACGGAAACAGATGCTTTGGGAGGGTTTCGGCTACGTTGTGGAATAGCTTACCATCTGCTATAAGAAAATCAAATACCCTGGCCAAGTTCAAGAGGGGCATTAAAACTTACCTCTTCACGTCACATTTTAGAATCTTTGCAAAGACGTCATGTAAATACCACCCTTTTATTTGTTCAATTATGTGCACATTGCTTGCTTAAATGTATTTCAAGCCTTTGTTGTTTGTTTTCACAATTATAACCATTACTATTATCCATATGTTGTAAAGCGCCTTAGAGTAATTTTACAAGTTATATAGGGCGCTATATAAATGTTGTATAGTATTTTTTATTATTATGTTATACCAGGTTTCTGTAGTAAACGCTGTGGTAATACAAGATGTAGTTAGTATATCGGAAAGGCAAGGTGTCCCACGCTGACAACATATTTAGTGTTATGGATATTTGTAAAGTCTAAATATGCTTTAATGGCTAGTATTTGACCTTTCGCTGGTCGCTTTACATCGTCTGGTTTTATTATATTACGTAACAGCTACAAGGTCAAGCTCTTCGATGTCATCTACTGTTGGACTGTTCGACTGTCCCGGGACAAACACCCCCTCCTCATCGACAGCATACGTATTTCAAGTCAAAACTAATAAGAAAACACAGTTAACGTCGTAAATACATAATTTATTTGTACACACTTTTGCATGGTTATTCGGGTTTTGTACAACGCTTCATGAACAGCTGGTTTGGACTACCTGACGACAATGCGGATTACCGAGTCAGCAGTATTTACCGTTCTGTATGGCACACGCTCTGGAGTATAAAGTTCAAAGTCTAAATATAAATAGAGTAAAATTGCGTATTTCGAAATTTCCAGTTTATCAAAATTTTAATTCAACATGAATTGGAGAAAGTGTTTCAGATTTGTAACGAGGTAGGAAAGATAAAAACAATAAAATGATTGGTAAAACGTAAGAAATCGTATACATTTGTGACGCGAGAAATAAGAGTGCTCAGTAAAATATAGAGTTTTATTTGAATAAACTTTAAAACAATGTAATACATTTACAATGTCATCAAATAAATAATAAGCATTAAACACACTGATCAAAGTGTCCATTCAGACACAACACATTCAAGACTTATGGACCTTTATACATGATACATTTGGCCGTTACTTTCAATTCAATGTCTTTGATTTTGCAGTATGATGTACTGAATGGTGATAAATATGCTCCATTTATACTTTCAGACACCACTAATTCAGAAATTAAGAGTGTAGCCTATACTTCTACGTATGTTGATTATATTTCCTAAAACATATTAAAATGAAGGTTCTGCTTCCGAGTGCATTATCGTAAAATGATCTTAGAAATATCACAAAAATAGTTCGGCTCACGAGAATCGTGGAAGGCACATGTAAGACATTTCAATGACGCCATGATACTATATACATATATATATATATTATACTTTACTAAAGAGATGACAAATTGTAAACAAATCATTAGAGCCAATTACATCTGCCAAGGGAATGACAAAATCTCCGCTAATTGTTTTCCGTATACATCAAAGGACAAATATTTCGATAATAAGTTTTTTTCGACTTTAATGTGAAAAGTAAAGTTTCCAATTTTGATACAAATATAAGAGGCGTCCTATATAAGTTCACGTGGCAAGTGTATACAGTGTCATGGAAACGCCAGTGATGACAAATGATGAAGTATATACAGATACAACATGCCTACGTCTGTAACAGTGAAACGGACAATCGTGTGTGAAAATTGCATTGTAATGCAGTTAATTAAAAATAAGAATATTAAATTCGTAAAGCATGCCAAAATGCATAAACGTATACGAATAATCGCATACACTTTTTTATATCTAAATGATTGCGATAGTTGAGATAACATGATCAAGTAACCGATAACAGGTACATGACCAAATAACCGATAACAGTTACACGACCAAGTAACCAATAACAGTTACACGACCAAGTAACCGATAACAGGTACACGACCAAGTAACCGATAACAGTTACACGACCAAATAACCAATAACAGTTACACGACCAAGTAACCGATAACAGCTACATAACCAAGTAACCATTAACAGTTACACGACCAAGTAACCGATAACAGTTACACGACCAAGTAACCGATTACAGTTACACGACCAAGTAACCAATAACAGTTACACGACCAAGTAATCGATAACAGCTACATGACCAAATAACCGATAACAGGTACATGACCAAGTAACCGATATCAGTTACACGACCAAGTAACCGATAACAGTTACATGATCAAGTAACCAATAACAGTTACACGATCAAGTAACCGATTACAGCTACATGACCAAATAACCGATAACAGGTACATGACCAAATAACCGATAACAGCTACCTGACCAAGTAACCGATAACAGTTACACGACCAAGTAACCGATAACAGCTACATGACCAAATAACCGATAACAGTTACATGACCAACTAACAAATAACAGTTACACGACCAAGTAACCGATAACAGCTACATGACCATTTAACCGATAACATATCAAGCGATATTCATGTTACTGAGTATTAGTGATACTGATAACATGTTGCGACGGTTTAAATTTGACGCAGAAGAAAAGGTTTTAATATATGTATTTCATACACGAGCAAGTTGTATGCTTACTGGGTAAAAACTGATAGGAATATGATCGCATTACGCATAAGAAAAAGGTGTGAGAAAAGAATTCAAGCGAAACGTACGATGCTTGCAGAGTTCTTACTAAATGTATAATTTCAAGCCAATCCATCCCTATTTTCAAACTTACGGCAAAATATCTTAAAAGTCTTACCTCTGAAATCCTATGAAATATTCTGTAACATTCGGGATATAGTGGTTCAATGAGAAAAGTATGTGTGTATTATTGAGGAGCATCTAAAGCCACACAATCACAAAAGTTGAGCATTATTATGACAATATAGACATGAATTAAGCATGAATGGAATGTTTATATTTTCCCGGGTATTGTCCTTTTATATGTCAAAAAACAATAGCAAAACTTAGTTCTGTAATAGGAACACCCTAGCGTTGAGGGTAGCTTCCATTTATCGGTCAACAGTACATGTTTTGTCCAGATAACTGAGCATGTGTGGAGAGGTAGAAAGATTTACATAAACAGGACAAACAGCATTTTAAGAAAACACTTTTACCAGTGCTAAGAAATATTAAATATATTAGTACAATGTAATACAAGAAATATCATATAGACACCAATTCAAAGATACTCAGTGTAAGAATAATAAAATACTCTAACTTGTAAACATCGCTTTAGGTAAGAATATCTTTCGCAAATTCCCTCTTTGTCACCGAAAAGAAAAAAAAGTAGTCTGTTTACACACCAGAGTACAGGTGTACCTAATTTCGCCTAAATGTTGAAGCAGACCGTTTTTAAATCATACACACTAGTAGGACCCCTGGACAGCATACACCCAGACCAGATCGGATTCCGAGGGTATCACAACGCAATAATACCTTATTTGTCCAATTTATCTAACGATATTCAATTCAAAAGGAAAACCAAATAATGATGCTTAAAAAGTACCAAAATTGAACAAAATCTCTATTTATGTAATGGGTTAAGAAAACAATTTTTTGAAATTATTTACAGCCCGGTGATAGATTCAACTTTAAGTTTCTCTTTATATACATCTTTGTTTTATGAGTTTCCAATTATTTTGAGTTTTTCAGATATAAATTCTTTCTTTTGAATACGAGTTATCCCCCTTTACTTAACGTACTTCGTGACTGACCAGTCGAAAGGTAAACAGTAAAACTGCATTGAAATGAGTTGAATTTATTTGCAATGAAAACCATTTTCAATCATTATTCTTTTTAGTGACACTAACATGAACAAAGTGAACAAAATAGGAGAACAGAAGACGAGGGATAACAACACATCCTATGAAGAGTTGTAATTCATTATATCCAATTTTGTTTGGAATCATTAACTTTGAGTTGTCAGCTTTATTTAGGCACGTGGTCAGTGTTCAATTCTGTATATAAAGCAGGTATGCTTTATTCAAACTGTACAGTAATTCAAGGCAACAATACGAATGTAACAAAAATAGTTTACATTCTATGATTTATCATCATTTTACATAATTAAAACAGCGAAATAGCAATACTTACAAGTAATGGCAAGAAGTACTGACATGATTGAATCATAATGTAGATCAATCCTCGTGTGACGTCACAGTCAAAAACACACATTTCTAATCACCCTGGATACTCAATGGGTTACGCTCACTTCCGTGCTGAGAACGTAGACAATATAAGTGGGCTTAACCCCTGAAATTTCGATGACGATTTCTAATACATCTGTACATCATAATTCATTGTGAACATATAATATGCAATAATCAAGTTTGAACGTGATTTACTCACTGCAAATTTATCCATATAACGGACTTTATACGATCAGTCTATACATATGTTTCATACATGAAGGTCTCGTATCAAAATCATGGAGATATTGCTGGGCACGTTTGTACCATCGACTAGTTTACTGAATACTCTAGTAAATTGCATATTCATATATGTTTAGTCAGTGACATAACACACCTTTGTTTAGTAAGTGAAATTACAGACCTATATTTAGTCAGTGACATTACATACCTATATAGGTTAAGTCAGTGACATTACAGACTTATGTTTAGTCAGTGACATTACAGACCTATGTTTAGTCAGTGACATTACAGACCTATATTTAGTCTGTGACATTACATACCTATGTTTAGTCCGTGAAATTACAGACCTATATTACGACAGTAACAATACAGACCTATGTTTAGTCAGCAACATTACATACCTATGTTTAGTCAGTGACATTACAGACTTATGTAAAGTCAGTAACAATACAGACGTATGTTTAGTCAGTGACATTACAGACCTATATTTAGTCAGTGACATTATAGACCTAGGTTTAGTCAGTGACATTACAGACCTATGTTCAGTCAGTGACATTACAGACCTATGTTCAGTCAGTGACATTACAGACCTATGTTTAGTCAGTGACATTACAGACTTATGTTTTTTTGTCAGTAACAATACAGACGTATGTTTAGTCAGTGACATGACCCACCTATGTTTAGTCAGTGACAATACATACCTATGTTTAGTCACTAACATTACATCACTATGTGTAGTCAGTAACATAACAAATCTATGTTTAATCAGTGACATTACAGACCTATGTTTAGTCAGAGACATTACATACCTATGTTTAGTCAGTGACATTACAGACCTATGTTTAGTCTGTGACATTACAGACCTATGTTTAGTCCGTGAAATTACAGACCTATGTTACGTCAGTAACAATACAGACCTATGTTTAGTCAGTAACATTACAGACCTATGTTTAGCCAGTGACGTTATAGACCTTTATTTAGTCAGCAACATTACTGACCCATGTTTAGTCAATGACATTACAATCTATGCTAAGTCAGTGACATTACAGACCTATGTTTAGTCAGTGACATTACAGACCTATGTTTAGTCAGTGACATTACAGACCTATGTTTAGTCAAAGACATTACATACCTGTGTTTAGTCAGTGACATTACGACCAATGTTAAGTATAAATACAGACTTATATTTCTTTAATAGCATTACATGGTACTTTATAGACGCATATAGGCAAAGACAATGCAGGCAGTTCGTCAGTGAAATTACTATTCAGTCAGCAACATTACAAATATATATTATTCAGTAACTTTACACATCTATCTTAAGGAACACTACTGATCTATATTTAGTAAGTAAATTTACTAAATCTATAGTTAGTAAGGAACATTACAGTACTATTTTAAGTAATATTACATACTTGTAATTAGTCAGGAGCATTACACACCTACATGTAAACACTTTGTGATTTTTTTGTTGTACCCAATAATCCAACAACGGGGTATTTGTATGCAATACATCTACAATGATGACATTTATAAAAAAAAAAAATATTTTACCATTTGATCTGATGCTTTACGTAGACAAGACATAGACAACAGTATAATGATGGGAGTAAGGGGAGGTAATAACGGTACACTACATAATGTATCAGCGCTAATCTGACACTGGCTACTTTGATCCACTATATACAGTACCGCCCTTAACACCTATTTGTACGATTATATTAATTAATGTCATGACCTTATTTTTGATTTGTTGACATAATAGCCATAACTAAAAAACGTAAATTGATAATGGCATATCAATGGGTAGGAACAGTGTATAATAACAACCATTAAAGTCTTGTTTTGACAGTCTGTAAGGCAAATACTGTAAAACTGGAAATCTTCGCGGTGTGGAAATATTTACGTTTTAGCGTTGAGTAAATTACCGCAAAAATATCCAGACGCTAATATCTGTTATTAGATTATTAGATGTATATTACAGATATATAGATTATTTAGATTTTAGAACCAATCTTCAACGTGAACATTTCCACATCCAAAAATTTCCAATTGTACAGTACTTGTTAAAATTATGAAAAAATGGACATGTATGGGAGGAAACTGACCATTTGAACAAAAGTAGGAACATTTACATGTATTGTTCATCACTGTCTAATACATTACATGTGTGCTAAAGTTTACCCTCTTTATCGTACTCTTACACAGTTAATTACATCAAAACACGTCCATACATTACATGTGTGCTAAAGTGTACCCTCTTTATCGTACTCTTACACAGTTAATTACATCAAAACACGTCCATACATTACATGTGTGCTAAAGTTTACACTCTTTATCGTACTCTTATACAGTTAATTACATCAAAACACGTCCATACATTACATGTGTGCTAAAGTTTACCCTCTTTATCGTACCCTTACACAGTTAATTACATCAAAACACGTCCATACGTTACGTGTGTGCTAAAGTTTACACTCTTTATCGTACTCTTATACAGTTAATTACATCAAAACACGTCCATACATTACGCTTATTATACTACCCACATAGTCGTTATCACACCTGTATACAGTAGTCGTTATCACACCTGTATACAGTAAACATAGATCACCGTACCACTGCCAAAACCTGTAACTTAGCGTTGGAAACTGGGGTTTTCCGACAGGACTATAGCTTGATAAATCTTTCTAAAAAGAAAACCGTTCCTTGCGACACTTTTATGGAAAATATAAAATATAAAAGATGAAATAAACAACATATAATCAACAACAGTGTTTTGAAGGTAAACATTAAGCGGGGCTTGACCCGGATTTGAACCCTGGACTTCAGTCATTGTAACCTACTGAGCTACCTGATCTAGGATGTGTTCTCTCCTTACTGTTTTACAGTTATATCCAAACGGAAATTAAACAATGCAGTGGGGCAGGGATCCTGAACTACATCCAAACACGTTCATACGTTACAGGTGTAAACTTATCCCTTTATCAAACCGTTATACAGTTAACCCAGTTACTTACATCCAAACACGGTCATACATCATTATAGGTGTACACTTATCCCTTTATCAAACCGTTATACAGTTAACACAATTAATCACACCAAAACACCTGTATAACCGAGTGTTAAACTACCCTCTTTATTATACCCTGTTATACAGTTAATTTTATCAAAACAATGCAATACAACACAATTAGCAGACTACCCTCTTTACCATACCTGTTTTATAGTTATTTGCAGTATGTTAGTGACAATGCGCCTTCTTACTACACTGTTAAAGGAGCAAACATCTGATCAACATGATCTACATTAGTGCTGATGATAAGCCTATTGACGTCACTACATTAACAGTACACCACCCTTTTTCACCAGTAAGTAGTACAGTAAGTATTTCAATACTGAATTAAGTACTTCAATAGTGTGATAAGTATGATAATGTGAAGAATTATTATTGTTATACTATCCTGTTCACAGTTATAATATCATAATATACACGTATATCTATGCACTCTTATTCTGAAATATTTAAATGTTTGATTTTTTTTTGCCATAACACGAAATTATGTCTACCATTTTCGATATCATCACAGTTGGTGTCAACAATTGAGATTTCAATTTTTGTTTGTTTCTGTAATTTGAATCAAATTAATATAAGAAACCGCAAATAGCTTGCATAGAAACGCATGGTTTTGACGACATACATCATAAGGACACCATAACGAATAAGGTGCAATCTAACGGCCAGTCAACTTGATGTAGTGACACTGGGTAATAGTTGCCGATTAATAAGTAGTACATAAACCTTTCATAAAATAACATATAAAAACTAAGTAGTTAGATGGCTCCTCCTTTAAGTCTGTCTACGAAACAGATGACGACGGCAATGTTGAAGGATGAACAGCTATACATATTCAGCGCTAGTCGACTTGAGCATATTTCGAACCTGAAATTAAAATCAGTACAGAGAGTTTAAGTCAATTAAGCGTGTAAACTTGTCATTGAAAAAGAATACAAAATATTTTAGAACAACTTGTACTTACAAACAGAATCTAACGAGCTTACGTAGCTGAAACTTATTTATAACGCGGATAAACCACAAATAAGACCACACATTACTGTTTTAGCCACATGGGACATTCAGGGGAAATATAATGTGCTATTCATAAAAAAACCAGCTAAGTATTATTGCGTGGTGGTTGATTATCATATCGTTACAGAAAAGGTACTATCCTAAGTTATGGAAATGCCAAAATCATATAGACTAAACAGATTTGAAGAAAGAAACAAAGGGAAAATAACAAATATCGAAAATAACCATGATAGATTAACTCATTCACCCCTGAAGACACATTTGAACTCTTCCAATTTAAAGGTTGGAATAGTTCATCATCAAATTTCAGGGGTGAATGAGTTAAATCAGGATATTTGGATATTTGGGCGGGCGGGCGGTCAAAATGGGAGACGTTTTCTTAATAAAACAACCAGGCGTATTCAGTCCACATCAATTATATACAGCAACGTTTGTCGTGGTTTTATGCCCTAGTTATATAACCATGGGTCTTTATAATTCAAGTATCTGTTGAGCTAGACCGGAAGTTGATACTACTGAAATTACTGAGGACGACGAGTCGTCTTTTACTACCAGCCTGCCAAGGAACATCCTGTCATAATTAACCCTTCATGGTCTAGTAACATAGGTAAATCAACCCTCTCTCGTTTACCATAGTTTATATATATAACGAGGAAACATAGAACGTTACCTTAAACAAATTGTTGACACTATGGAAGGTCCTAACGCGCTTGCTGTTCATTGGCTGAACCAGTGGAAAATTACTTACATATGTAACTTCGATTACAGATTGCGCCAACTATTGACCAATTTTAACTCCATCTACTTATTCTAACATACTGTCAGTGATTTTACACTGCTTTTAGAGGTGAAGGAGGCATTGAACTTCTGTTTATGGAGATTCAAAATTGAAGAGCACTTACATTTCGAATTTGAAGTTGACTCATGACATTGACTAAAATCAATGTCCCGTATCCTGTGTACTGGATGAAACAGATAAACTCCTGAAAAAACCCAAAAAACAATTAAAACAAATACTGAAACCATTAAGGTGTAGAAAAGGCACTGTCTAATTGGTTGCAAACTGACGTTACCTAAACATGTGAACATGCAGATATCTCTGATATTTACCCCATAATATCCAAAATATAGTGCAAAGCGATACCCCGTTATCTTATCCAATCAGCAGGTGGAAATTCTTGGAAACCAAAGATTCATTTCCATAAAATATTGTTGAAAACGGTGTCCACTTCATGTATGAATATCGACCTCTATTTTAGCCAATATAATGAGCATCAACCCATGGAGAAATGTATCACACTGCAATCCGATTCCTGGACTGACATTTTTTTTAGAATTATAAAGAAATGTAACCCTTAATGCCATATGTTGTGTTGTGTTGATATACAATGTACATCCAGCTCTGTAGTGAAAACAATATTCAGCATTTCACAAATTATAAAGTTTCATGAAAAACCAGCCATCTTTTCCACAGATTTGATGGGGACAAGATAATGATCGATATATCGACTGTTGTGCATGACGTCATAGAATAAGACCTTCAAATGTATTGCCCAATCAAGAATTACAATCACTTGACTATTGACACTTTAAATGGGAAGCTGAACGAGAAGTAACCAGCAAATGGACGTTTCCCTTAAGTTTCGTACTTAACAGCTGAACGTGTCACATAGTGGAGAAGTAACTAGCAAATGGACGTTTCCCTTTAGTTTCGTACTTACCAGCTGAACGTGTCACATAGTGGAGAAGTAACCAGCATATGGACGTTTGTTTGTTTGTTTGTTTGATTTTGTTTAACGTCCTATTAACAGCTAAGGTCATTTAAGGACGGCCTCCCCTGTGTGCAAGATGCATGCGTGTAGTGTATGTGTGTGTATTTTGGGAGGCTGCGATATGTTCGTGTTTGTCTCCTTGTGATAGCGCGGAACTGATGCCGACTTTATAGTGCTACCTCACTGAAACATACTGCCGAAGACACCCAACAGGACGCCCCACCCGGTCACATTATACTGACAACGGGCGAACCAGTCGTCCCACTCCTAATTTGCTGAGCGTTAAGCAGGAGTATAAACTACCATCTTTAAAGACTCTGCAGGTAGGGCGTAAGAATTGTACCTGCTGCCCCCAATTGCATGATCGTAAGAGGCGACTAAATTTGGGACCTTATCTCTTCTCTCCTTTCTAAAAAAGTTTTCTTCTTCCTAATGTCTCCCTTGACAATGCCTCACTTTTGGCTATTTGTTGAGCGTTCGCCCCTGTGAGGAAGGCTTTGGGTTCTGTCCCCTGGCCGAGACATACCAGGGCATATGGACGTTTCCCTCTAGTTTCGTTCTTAACCGCTGAACGTGTAACATACTGAAGAGGTTACCAGCAAATGTAAAAGATTTTACGTGAATACATCCAATGTTTCTAATCCGGTAATACCAAGGGTTTGCAATAGCGTAAATGTTTTTCTCTTTTTCTTTGGTTATAAAATTGCCGAAGTGTACAACTATATTTTCACCAACAGAGCTGTCTAAAAATCTCTGTAACCAACCTCTAGCATCAGATCTTTCCTATATCTTGTTAGGAATATGGCTATAGCACTGTAGCGGAACTTGACTGGGTCGATCGTCGGCGACCAGGTAACTCAACTGGTAGAGCGTCCGTCTAGAGTTTGGAGGGTCCCGGGTTCGAACCCCGGTCTGGACATGCATTTTTCCTCTCCTACTACAGCACTAACTCATAACTTGCAGTATATTATAACTACCGAACTTATCCATTTCCTTTAAGAAATTACGCTCTACCCGTTGTCCATTCATTTTGACGAATACGGTTGCAGAACTTACTCATACATTGTGAGGATAATGGCTGTTGTCCTTACACATATCTAGCGAGAGATTTGGCTGCAGAACGTACTGGTGTCTGGCGGAGGAATATGGGTAAAACACTTACCCATACCTTGTTAGGAAATTGTTTTTAATAATATTCCTCATGCCTTGTGGAATATTAAACAATATGTCTGTATCCCTGGTACCAATGTATCGTACCAATGTATCCCTGGTACCAATGCAATTTGGAGGAATATGGCTGTAATGATCAACCATAGTTTGCGGAGGAATACGCTTGTGACACTCACATGGAACGTTGCTGTAACACTTACCCATATCCTGTCCAGGAATATGGCGAGAAGGAGATACTGTAGCATTGCCTGAGCCTCTATCAGTCTCCAGGAGTACAACACAAACCACATAGTTAATGAATGGAGTGCCTCTAACTGCGTTTCCTGAAAGTTGATTAGATACAAACGTTAACAATATGGCCATGACAAATCTATCGCGAGTAAAGTATTATAACATTAGAGTCACTGTCTGACTATCACAGACACTCAACTGTTCACTTGTTTGGTCTAAATCTGTATGTGATTGAAATTAATATTACGTCGGCAGACTCATTTTATCTCCCCTCAAAAGTGTTGGGAAAAATTATAATAGCATATTACGTGTAATATTCTTCAAATTGAATTTTGATAACAGAACTGTGTTCGTTTTGATTTGCATTTCTTTACTATAACCAATGTTTATTACTCCCCTTAATTGTTCTTCATTATCAACTTTAACCATGCTTATCATCACCATACTCTCAACCACATTACACCACTGTAAACTATCGATCATCACGAATGGTATTGCCGTAATGAAATGAGTCTGATTGTAAAGGGAATTAAGATTGTATCCGGATTGAATGGAAACATGGTGAGGGTCAAAACTACCACTTCACAACTGCAACCAACAGGTTACAAACTGTGGTCAGAAACATTTGAAAAAGTCGAATTTCCAAATAATGGTTTGTAATTCTTCCTATCGCTACGTTATAATTGAATGAGAGTTGTCTCCTCTTAACCAGCTTTAAAAATTGAAAGCCGACGATAAACATCAACCAATATGGAGCCATTTGGGCAAAGGGAACCTATACGGTATCTATCTCTTCTTGTGACGTCACCGTCTACCTACCTCTTCTAGTGATGCCTCCCTCTACGGCACCTATCTCTTTTAGTGACGTCATCCTCTATTTACCTCTTTTAGTGACATCACCGTCTATCTACCTCTTCTAGTGACGGCATCGTTTACCTACCTCTTCTAGTGACGTCACCGTCCACGGTTCCTGATCTACATTTCTCTTTTAGTAACGTCACCATCTATCTACCTCTTCTAGTGACGTCACCATTTACCTACCTCTTCTAGTGACGTCACCGTCTACGGTACCTATGTTTAGTAACGTCACCGTATACCTTCCTCTTCTTGTGACGTCACCGTCTACGGTACCTCTCGCTTTTAGTTACGTCATCAACTGTTTGCCTCTTTTAGTGACGTCACCGTCTACTTACGTTTGGTAGTGACGTCATTATTTACCTACCTCTTCTAATGATGTCTCCATCTTGGTAGTAAATATTCCACCGAAAGCCTCCGTAGTTTTATCAAAAGTCATCCCTGTCAGGGCCAACATCAAACCGTAACACAACACTTTATAAAATATATGGTTCCTTGGATGTTTTTGCTGGTATACACTTGTCTTCTCACCATCCCCTGATACAGGTGCCCCGTTCACAGACGGCTTCGTGTACGGCAGGATAGCAGTAGGTTTTTGCACTTGAACTTTCCATAAATAGAAGAGAACACCAAAACAAAGCGCTATACCACTTGTCGTGTCACATATTGTGTCCACTACAAAACCTAAGTTCATCCTATCGCTACGGTAACCGTGAAGACCCTTATGACTTCTATACACTACCCCGTCATAAACGTCCAACCAAAGGCGAAGTTCGAAGATTAATACACCAAGGCGTCGCCGACGTAAGGATTCCGACGCCACGAATTTTCCCGAGAGAAAACCCAGGGCAAGATGCATGGCACTGATCATGTTAGGGGTGATGAAAGTGAAGATCTTACTGAAATGTGTGTACTCGTCAAAGTATTCTGTGGCCAGGCTGAGGATGTAATGATTAGTTGGCGCTGTCATCAGAAGTTTCGCTGACAGCGGGCGGAATGGCGAGTAAGAAGAGGTTTTCTCCTGATTAGCAAGATTTGTACTCTGTAGTGTCATGTACAGAACTACGTCCATGATGAAAAAATACGTTAGGAGGAGCAGTGACGTCATCAGGAGCAGACTCCGCTCCGTCCGACACGTCTGCAGCATGTGGTTCAGCATCTTCAACGGCGAGTCGGCTGGTATGGACACCAACAGGTGGAAGCAGACTCTCCCCAAACGTCTTCCTGGTTGCTAATTCTGCCAAATCTGCAGTGTTTTTCTGTAACACGTATATAGATAAGAAAGAATTACCAGGCAGAACGTTTCCGCATTTATTTCGTGCATAGCACAACCATTTGACATCGTCACGTGCTACTGTTCTACACAATGGGAACTCCCGTTATAATCACAAATACAACATGTCAGCTTGCTAGTCGCAATTTCAGACACAAACCATTTAAGTAGCGTGCTATCATTGGTATGGATATACACAGTAGGCTGGCTGGATTAAAGACCTAAGTATGTTTCGCAATAGGTCTTTAATCCAGCCAGCCTACTGTGTATATCTATATGCGTTACATTTTCAGACAGTGACATCGTTGCATTAAATGATAGAAGGCTTTGAATATATTTACATTAAATACAGATCTAACAATCTAAAAATTGTCGGGAAATTTTCTCACGCTTTTGTGTAGTCGGCGAGGGGAATTCGAGATGAGCTGTCGTAGGTCATATTGACATGTATCTCCTAAACGTGAACTATTTTGACCAAATTAACATTCCAATCTCTCGATCTTAGTCATACAAAGACAAGGCTCCTTTCCCTTCTTCAAAAGAAACGATTAATTGCACTAAGAGGTCAGTGTTTTTTTGTTTGTTTGTTTATGTTTAACGGCCCATCGACGGCTGTGGTCATTTTTTAACAAACAAGTGAGTAGCGAAGATAAAATCAGATAAAATGGTTCATTTTTTAAGCATTCGCATTGTATGTGTAGATAATAAAAAATAAAAAGGGGGTTAAAATAATAAAAGAGATAACGAATAGATGATATGGAATATGTGATATGCATATAACGTCAAAAAGGGTATGGTGGATTAAAAGACATCAGAGTCTATAAAATAGACCGATGTCTTTCAAATAGTTAAATAATGCCTTCGAGTCCACGGAACTGAAAAGAGTTTTCATATCCGGGACTCGAAAGTAGTCAGTGTAATCAAGTTGGACTTACAAAGCAAATAGTTATCGAGCCTAAAACAGACAAGGAAATGACAGTAGTTTTATCTGAATAAAGCATACATATATGTACCGAAATAAGGGATGTTTTACAGACACCAGAGCGCGACAGGGCTTTGGGTTAGGATGGTAACAGGCACCATATCCTTAACGACTCTACATGCACAGATATTAGCCTCGTCTGTCAATACACCATACTTATACTCTACATGTACAAGTATTATCCTCGTCTGTCAATACACCATACTTATACTCTACATGTACAAGTATTATCCTCGTCTGTCAATACACC